CTAATAAGATTTATTGCTTAGCTTTGTCTAGCTATTATAGGGTACCTATATTAGTAAATTTCTTCTCTAATTATAGTAGGAAATATAAGAATAAGGTCTTCTCTAACTATCTTAGCTAATATAGACAATAAGTAGCTCTTACTTTAGCGTTTGGGTTGCTATAGATACCTTCTAGATACTCTAATAGGTCTTCTAGGGTTTTAGTATCTTAGTAGTATTTTATATATATACTAGTATTCTTCTATATAAGTTTCTTTAGTTATAAAAATATATAGATAAATTAGTCAGTCTTAGAACTAATAGTATTACTATTAACTACTAGCTTATTCTCTATTATAATTTGCTATATTAACTAGTTGTTTATACTTCCTGTAAATAGTAGTAGGTCTGGAAGTCTTACTTAGGGTTATTAAGGAGACTCAGCCTAGACCAGTGGTATAGGGGAGGACGGTCTTTTGGCTAAAAGATCAGGTCTCTTCTCTGGATCTTTAGGCTCCTTTTATATATTCTTTTTTATAGTCTTTACTAGCACTACCTCTAGCTGTCCTATATACTCTTCTTATTGTATTATTACTTAGTAGTGTAAGGTTTATATATATATTAGCTGCTGTATAATTATATCTAGCAGGTTTTACTGTTGTGGTTTCTCCTAAGGGAGATCTATATCTATCCTAGTATTTATTATTAGATTGATAATAAACTGTTCAGATGGTTCTTTTACTTATTGTGCCTAGGAATATTCTCTTCTAGGGCTTTTGCTTTATCGTTAAATTAGTATCGAATAGATAGTAATTCAGAGGTACGTTCTTCGTATGCCTAGGACCTCTAGGGCTTTGCAGGTGGTTTTACGATTACCGATCGAATCAGAAGATTATTGTATATGAAGGGCTGTAGCGACAACTGTTTAATTAGGGCTAGGCCTGTATGCTGTTTATAATAATCTTAAAGAAGAGTTATCTATGTAAGCTTCTGCCTTGTTTTCCTGCAGGAAAAGGTCACGTGACACCACGTGATATCTCCTCGGGCCTGGGCCCGTTACACCCCTATTCTAAACCTTAGCTTAGGACTAAGATTTACCTTTATTCTAAGAGTAGTTTAACTAGTTATTTTGTTATAATAAATTATGCCCTTTATCTCAAAGTCCTAGATAGCGTTGTATTGTTTAGGAGTACTATTATATAGACCTCTATATATCTAGCAGTTCCTAGAAGGATTAATCCCTATACTATTCAACAGTACCCCTTAGTTTTGTTTATAATAAGGGTTATTCTAGCGATCTAAACTAGTATCTAGTTTTAATACAAAAGCTTCTAGCTTCCTAGCTACGTCGTTAATTACCTTTAATATATAGTTCTTAGCCTGTTGATTATTAGCTATTGTAGCAGGAGTTAGCTAAACAGTAGAAATAGGAGGAGCAGCTAAATACAGGGATATTGAAGACAGCTATCTCTTATTCAATAATATATCCTTAGTCTCTTTCCTCTTGACCTTCTGGTAAATATTAGCTTCTATACATAGGTTTGTCTAAACTTGCTTATATACCTTATTATAAGAGATCTTATTATTATAGAAATATACTTTTAGGGTATAGCGCTTTAAAATCTTTGCTTGCTATTTCTCCGGAAGACTTTTAATCAGCAGATCTGCCTGTTCTCTATTGCTTAGACGACTAAGCAGGAATACCTCTGTAGAAACCTTATAGAATTCGCTTAGATAGTGTCTGATTTTATTGTTTGTTAATCAGTTACTATTTATAAGCTTATTAAGATACTGCTTGTTATATCTTAATTATTTATTGTCCTAATTATAATAGTGGTCTAGGAAGTCCTTATAGAATATCTACTAATCTCTTACTTTCTATATATTATGGCTTTTAACCCAGATATATAGCGGTCTTTTATAATATTGGGGAAGGAGGTCTATAATCGCCTTATATCGGACGATACTACTATAGTAATAGGTATCTTCTAGCTTCCTTAGAAACTTAGATATATTAGTTTTATCGAACGTAGGAGCTCTATAAGATTCTGGGGCTAGTATTGTGCTATATATTATCTAATATATTAGTTATAGGGGCAGAACAGTATAATAGGGTATATACAGTATAGGTTCTCTAATCAGTATAGTCAGCAGAATATAAGAAAGCAGCCTTACGGCTTTAAGGTTTATAGGACTTATAGGACAAGAGGGATCCCTAATAGTTAATCTAGATACTTTAGGCAGTGGTTCAAAAAACTAAGTAAATTATTCTGCAGCAGTAATAGGTATAGCTATATCACTAAGAAGTTTACTATCATTGCTACTGTTATTAATAGCTATAGTTTCAGAAGATTGTTTTCCTGTAGGAAAACGTAGTACAGAAGAACAAGAAGAATAAAGTAATACAGTATTAGAAAATAACTTAGTCTGATATAATGATTCAGAAGCAGAAACAGAATCAAACGAAGATAAAGATAAAGACAGGGAAATAGAATATAAAATAGGAGCCTCAGTACTTAATAATAATAATAATTCCTTAGATAAAACTAACTCCTTGCTTCCTGACGAGGGGTTATCCTTCTTCCCTAGTATATAACACAATATAAATAATAACAGAATATTAGACAGCCCTAAATACTAGATATAGCTAATACTAGGATATCTGTAAACTGCTATCTTATACAGTTAACCTAGTATTATTTATAGAAGCCTTTCTAGTATTATAGTATCTCCTATATACTAATCAGTAAGTATTAATTATAGAAACTATATATATTTAGCGGAAGGGGATACTCTGATATCTTTTTTAGCCGATATATTGAATATTTAATTGGCTAATCCTATCTAGGATCAACAGCTCTTTACTCTTTATGATATATTCGAATACTATTATATTCTCTTAGGGTTAAATACAGTGCCTACTCTTATAATAGTATTACTCTTGTTTTTAGCCATCCTTATTAATTAAGTCTTCCCAGAGACGCTATATATAAGATAGGAATACTCGCTAGCAGTCTGTTAAGCAGACGGGTTGATTATAAGAAGATAAAACCACTATATTTGTAGAGTGCAGAAGAGTAGTAGACAGAGTGTAACGCTATAGAGATACGACTAGTAAGATATTTAAGTCTTTATAGATATACGATATACCGATACTGCAACCTTAGCCTTATCAGACTATACAGAAAGAATAATTCATAAGGGGGAACATATATGTTGTTATTGATACTATCGAACAAACGCTACTTATTCTTCCGAAACGATATGGCTGCCTTATTACTAAGGCCCTAATCACCTGACTATGGGATACCGGTGTTGAGAGCGGAATTCCCCATTATAATATATAGTATTAACTATAGCTATAGCTTTAATATATAGTAATAAACTTATTTATTCTAAAAAACCTAAGAAAAATAATATTCTAGATCTATAAGATAATAGTAAAAAATCTTTAGTTTTTTATTAGATTACTAATAGTAATATTTAATCTTATTACTAACTTTTTTAGTATTAAAGATATTTTTATTATATATTAAAATAAAAGTTTATTTTTTAAAATACTTCTAGCTACTAAAGTAGTTATTATAATTATCTTTAAAGTATTTTTTTTCTATAGTCTAATTATTCTTATAATTAGAGTTTAGATATTTAACTTCTATAAAGATCCTTATTTTTTTATTCTTATAGACTTTAGGATTATCTTCAAAAATATATCTAAGCTAAAAAAGTTAGTTTTCTTATTTCTAAAGAATAAATAATCTTTTAAATTTATTAGCCTTAAAACCCTCTAATTTTTTATACTTTTTAGTCTTAGTTCTTTTATAATTTATAGATAGCTTATTTAAAAAGGTTTTAGTTTTTATATTTCTAGCTAAGTAGAAAGCTCTTTAATATAGGTCTAAATTACTAGAAACTCTTTAAGATACTTTAGTTTATATTTTCTTTTCTAGACTATCTATATTAATATTTTTAAGCTTAATAATATTCCTAGTTATAGGTTTACCTATAATTTCTCTAATCTATATCTTATAAGAAAGAAAAAGAAATATATTAGTATTATATATAGTAGCTTTATAGATTAATATCTAATCTAGCTTAGGTTCTATAGGGTTTTTATACTAATCTAGGACTAATTTAATCTTAGGTTAAATAGTAGAAGAAAAGAGTATAGTAACTTTATATTATATATTATTATAGAACAATATAGGGTTTTAATATATAGAGGGTACTATCTTTAATCTCTAGATAGTTAAGAAAAAAGAATTAGAATTATAATAATTACTAAGTTATTAGGCTAGATATCTATAACTAGGTAAGGATATTAGACAGTAGAGATTAGATTAGGTAGTTAATATAGAGACTAATTCTTAAGAAGATTAAGAATCCTAAATACTTATAGGATCTTAAATATATTAGGGTTTAGATAGATATCAATATATAGATAACTTAAAGAGGATTTGTCTATAAATCAGCCTTAAGAGTCTGGGGTATTATATACTTTAAATCATATGATATAAATAAAGTAATATAATCTCTTTAATATCTTTAAGATAAAAGCTTCTATCTTTATATTCTTAACTCTTACTTTTCTCTTATCTTTACCTTATCTTATTCTTTCCTTTTATTATTAAATCAGATTGTGAAAGAGCCCGAGATGATTCAGTAGCCGCCTTAGGCTCAGACCACACCCGTCTGATGTTACATTTCTAGCGGAGCTGAAGGAAGACGCCCGTCTACCCTAGCCTGGCCCCGATATGAGACATTGTGTGGGAACGCCATGCAGGTATCGAGCAAATCAGATGACATCGCAACCCTTCTTTTCATGATTTACAACAGCTCATACCTCTTATGCTAAATTCCTATTGCTCAACGCAGACAAGGTAGATTTTCTCTTGGCATGTGTTTGCTCGTATCTATTCTCTTGAATGATCTTCTTGTCCCTTGGACACTCGGGTAGTCAACTGATATAGATCGCTTGTTTCCAGTTGTTCAGTCCCTCTTTCTCGTCAGTCTCTAGTATCATGTCTGTGACTCTTGATAACATTCAATTTTACCATGGCCCATCTAAGCCCAGGACTCAACCTTATTTTGCTTTCGACAGCAAGCGGAACACGTCTGGTACCCCACTGTCGGCTCGGCCACCCGAGTTTGCAAACGACTCGACCCTTTCGGCGATAGACCACTGCGAACCCCTTTCTTCAATCCTTCATCCAGATAATATCATAGGCCAAGAAACACTTCAGCCACCAAATATATTTGATATTGAGATGAGTAGGATGTGGGAAACGGTGCCGACATCCGAAGATTCTTATGAGAGCGGTGCCTCTTTTGCACAAACGCTTGGCTGTCATCTCCAAGAGCTGTCAAGCAAAGGGACGTCGGGAATTTGTAAGTTGGAGCTCCGAAATGTTCTTCATCACAGGCTGCTAATCATTTCTGTCTACAGCGGCATCGCGTGCTTTACGTGAAACGATTGAATTCGACAGTTCAGGCTTAGTTCCAAGGTCCCATTCATTTTGCAACAGACCATCGTCATCCCCTGCTTTGAAAATTACGGAGTCCTCTTCACCAAGAATAGTGGATTCGTCTTCTATTAGTTCGTTTGCGCTAGAAGACACCCAGCAGCAAGAAGACCATCGCCCACGTGCGACCGCCGAATCTTCCAGCCCAGCCAATATCGAGGAAATTTCCAACATCTCTAGTACATTTCGTGAACACTTTTCAAGCCATCCGTTCTCTTGCACCTCATCCTGCCAAGGTCCCGCCTCCAGGGCAACAAACGGGAGAAGCCTATCCTTCCCTTTGCCGGATGATAACCCTGGTGGCCGTCAGGTAGGCCACACCGGATTAGAGTCGGATTCCTGTCCTACGAGCGTTGCTGTGGCAGATAGTCCCAGGCCAGCCAATACACTCCATGTCAACACACCAGATTTGACCAACGTGGAACAAGCCACCAACTGTGGTCATGATATTTCTCAATCAAGAGCAGCTAGTGGCATTCCTCCAATCCGCAGGAAAAGAAGAGAATACAAACAGCCTTCTACTAGCAGACAATATACTGCACCTGAAGACCGACGTATGTCTGTCGCTGTCGCTGTGGTGATACCCCCGCCACGCCCACACCATTTGCGCGGTATGCGTTCGAGCGCAAAACCTGTTTTGTCGGATGCCGACCACAGCGACAACAGCAAAAGCTTCGATGATACCTCGGACGAAGTCTTCACAAATGAGTCAATTGAATCAGAATTCTCGGAATTTGAAGACCACCAAGGTTCTGTGGAGGCAGACGATCACTCAAATATGGCCGCTTCGTGTCATGCTAACGACATGTCCCTGAATTCCTCGACCAGCCATCGCGGGTGTAAAGATATTATGGGGCGGGCAATCCTCACCATGGAAACCCTGGGGCTTGAGCCCACTTACTTTTTCACCTTTATGCCCGACAACATCCGCTCGATGCCATATAAGCCTGTCCAAAGTTCTCCTCGTGACTCCGAGAGACCGGCTAGAATTGGAAAGATCCAAGTAAGCAGAGGTAGTTCCCACGACAAAAGGAAACGCCGGCCATATTCAACCGACGAAGACCGTTTACTCGTGAAGCTGAAGGAAGAAAAGAAGTTGGCGTGGGGGGGGAGATCACGAGTCACATTCCTGGTCGCAAATCATTCATTACAGGTACACTATTCTACCAAATTGAGGCCTAGAAAAACCAATAAAAGTTGCCTGCGAAGTCGGAAGGGAGCCAGAAACTGAAAATACATACTCTTGAAGCACTTCTCGTCTTTGTACCCTCGCCCCCTTGGAATCTATGGATATCCAACAGTACGTCAATGAGGCCTACCAAGAGTAGATTTATATTAGGACATATATCTGTCGTCATGGGTGTAGGAGAAGCTCTAAGGCAGACGCAGTGAAGACAGAGTTATTTCGTTGCCAGTATACAATCAATTTACATGCCGAAGCCACAATAATATCGGCCGGGTCGTTATAATGTCAAGAGAAAAAAAAACCTGATGAAAAACGCCATCTGGCCGAAAGGCACTCCCCCCCCCTCCTCTGGGTGATTCATTGGGCTCTCCAGGGCCTAAAGAGTATGAAGAAGGTGAGGCGAGCAGGTCCTTGCTACTTTTCGTCCGGCGCGTGACTTATGTGCGGCCAGTAGTCGGGTGGGTGTCGCCAGGGTGAGTTTAGGGTGAGCGCCGCTTTAGCGTCGCGTGACCAGGGGTGAGAAGGGTGAGTGCGCAATAGACAGGGTCAGAAGTGGGCGAGAAACACCCTTGGTCGCGCAATGGTCGCTCGGGCCCTCTCCAGCCCAACCAGGGCACATAATGATTGGGTTTTCCTGACTCGCTGAAACGTTCGGTCTCTTGGCATCTGCACATAGCCACAAACTGCTTTCTGGGTAGATTTTAAGGGAGCGCGGAGGGTACCTGTGCCACCCCGAAATCAAAATAGGCGGCTAGGCTTTACTCGGCGCTAACTTGTCATTCTCGCCTAATATTAAAGGTCAGGTTGATCTGACTGTTAATCTCAATCTCTTGATCTTCGTTTCAACCGCATTCTCAACGTCAATAATAATATAAAAGCAGACATGGCTGATCCATTTTCTGTGACTGGGAGTGCAGTAGGCGTCATATCACTTGGCCTCACTGTTTGCCAGGGACTGATTGCTTACTACGGGAAATTCAAAGCATTCCACGAGCAAATCGACGAGGTGACAGATCAAATGGCCGCATTAGAGAGCATTTTGAAGGTGCTACAGCATGTGCTGATTAATGCGAGTGTATTGTCCACGTGTGAAACAGCTCCGTCTGCGGCTGCGGCAATTGATTCTATTTTAAAATGCCACGAAGGTCTCAACAAATTGGGAAGGATGCTTGAAAAGTGCGATGCGACGAAGTCAGCACGCAGCTCAACTGGTCATAACAAACAAATCAGTCGGCTTTTATATCCCTTCAGAGGCGAGACACTCATGGCACTTACGGAAACAATGAGCTGTCTACAGGCTAACCTCAACACTTCACTTCAAGTTTTGAACATGTAAGTGGTCGCCACTAGCTCCTTGCATGCTTGCCACTGACTGACAGGAATGTAGTTCTATGATGACGCTCAATCATAAGAGAATGGATCTGTTAGTGACGGGGTCGGCTTCCATCGCGTCAAATACAAGCCATATCTTAAGCATGACGAATCGACTAGATCAAAACAGTCTCAGTGTTGACAGTAGATTAGAGATGCTTGAACAGCATCTCGATCAAATGGTATATAAGCGTACTCGGTTCAAATTGCTATTTCTTTGATGATACAGCTACTCACTGCTAGCCCAAAGGAATCCAATATTGCTTGCGTAGGCGCACGCCTAATTGTCACGCCTGCTTTGTTGCGATCCCTTCTAGATGACCAGAAAATGGCTGCAGAATCTACAGGATTCTTGATGGCAAAAAGTCAACATCATCGCGTTGGGGACCTAATCGGATGCACGTGCTCTCACTGGAGTCAGTCTTCGTCCTGGAACCGACAATTTGCTCGACAACCAGCAATTCTGAACCAAGCCTGCCCAGTTCATGACCAACATGAGCATACTACCCTATTTCTAAAGCGCTGGACACATTATAATCGCTTTCTAGGCTATACTATTCAAATTTCGTTGGACATCACCAAAGGCGCTGGTGGTCTTGCTATCTCCCCTCATCTCGAATTCCGTGCAACTGTGCCGACAGATTCACCTATATTCAGGCTCCTGTCCAATACAGAAGACGTCTTGAAATCTAAGACCGTCAGTAGAACTCTGGAAAACACCCAACAAAAACTATTCGAACTCCTTAGAGAGGGGAAAGGCTCATGGTCGGATGCTCTGCCTAACGGAAACACAATTTTACATGTGAGAATACGTCATATTAAGAGTTCAAAATAGAGTGGGCTTTTCTAACTCAGGGATATGCTAGACGATAACTGGCTGGCAATTATACAGCTCGCAGTGGGATGCCAATTCATGGCTTCGTTGGCGAATCTTCCTCAAGGCGATCTCACAAATGGGCCCACTGTCAACTCGCCTGAGTGACAACGGCGAGACTCCTGCGGACAAGATGATAGAATATTTTGACGTATATGAAAGCTACAGAGAATCTCGACAGCGACAGGGAACTATTAATATCTGCTCTGATTTATTGAATGCCAGGGGCTTCATGACACATATGGCCCTCGATTGGAGGCATCACCCAACGCATTTTAACCCTTTCTATTATATGAGTGGAAGGGATGGCCGCATGAACGATCATATCTTTGAAGATAATAGTATTCGGCTCATTTGGCAAATTTCCGACGAGAAGGAGACCCAAGGTAAGTCCCTGCTTACAACCTGAGGTCGAACATAGAAAAACTCACTGAATATAGACATCGATGTCCCAGAAGAGCTGCTTCCCCTTGTGTATAGATCAAGTGAACATTTAATCTCACTCTTGAGAAAAGGCGTCGATTTACAACAATGGGTTAATTCCTACGTACAATGGCCTACTGGGCTGGCCTTGATTCTTGAGTCTGGCCACACACCGGAGTTGAATTCTCTCACAACAGCATGCGATTCAAATTGCGTAGAGAGTATCAAGATTCTGATCAATTCTCAAAAATTCTATATCGATCCGGCGACGCTGCAGACCGCCTGTAATCACCCCAATACGATGATTATGGAGCTTATAGTGGCCGCGCTCGCTGACCGTAGGAGGCAGCTACAAATTCTTGTGGAGACCCATTTGCCAGAAGAAGTGCATTTGGAGCTAGGTATTAGCCCTGGGACTCTCATGAGTCGTCAAGCTTACAAAGCTTATCAACTTTTGAAGGCAAGCTCTATTGATGTTGACGGCATTGTTGAGAGAACAAGTTGGTCTGTCTATGACTACATAGGTATCAATCTCAAGTCAGCAGACTTGCTTTGGGATTCTGGTTTCCGAGACGTGGACGAGATAGATGGCAATACGTCGTGTATAAGGGGACTTTGGCATAGTTCACCGCCCTGCAGACTAGATGTGTTCTTGGAGAAAGCGAACTGGCTCATTAACAAAGGCGCAAGCATAACTCGCAGGAAGGACTCCTGCCCAGCTTTGCATTACCTTGGACATGACGTGGGAAAGCTTCTGCATTCAATTGATGACTTCGAGGGATTTCTTTGGCAAATGCATGAGCTAAGCCGAGAATCTATCCAATTAATGTTCACGATATTCATGGACGAATCTCAAGACGACTGCTGCTGTCCGTGTTCTTCAACTGGTTGCTCAGGTCTTACGGCGTTCTTGCGCGGAATGTTTCCGACACGGTCTGATAAAGACTTGGACGAGCTCATAAATAGGCTTGCAATTGTCATAGAGGCCCTTACAAGCTCACATGTGCTGCCTAGCCAGGAGCGTCTTATTGATCTCATCGCTCCTTCTGTCCTGCGCTTTGTCACTTAACGAAGGTTGAACATCTCCCATACCTGCATCCACGATTACTACGGTGGAATAGATGCAGAAGAGATTGAGGAAATTCAAGATGAGGAACGTCTTTTGATACTTGAGCTCGAAGGGCTTTTGGCTGAATTTGTCCAGACATTGGAAAATCTCTCACTGTCATTTCCAGACTTCTTGACGGGCTATTGGCGAGCCCGCATGAGGGAGGTTGAATCTTTGAGTGGGGTGCCCAGTGCAGAAGCGTCCGCTAAAATTCTCGAGACTGGAGTGATTCTGTATGAATAAGAATCTAAATTGAACTAATAGGATATGTTGTTTAACTTGCATAAATATTGTGACATTTTGTCTGGCAGATTTACAGTATATTCCGGTTTTCCCTCTACTGCTCCACTTTGAGTGCACCCTTGAAGGGTCCAGCATGTCTCAGCTCGTTTTAGCATATCTCAAGGCCACAAACTTGGTGCCCGAAAATAGAGTAGAACCAGGAGGGGACTCACTGGAAGCCTAGTAGCCTGATAGTATTGAGCACCATCTTCTAGAGCAACGTCTGTCCACCTCGACATTCAAACATTTAAGGAACATTCGACTGGTAATTCATTGCTGTGCGGTAGCATTTCAACGTTGGGTCTTTGGTTTTTCTCGCAATAGCAAGCGTATCTGCTCTTTCCAGCCATTGTCGTGGGTTACATGTTTTCGCGACAATGCAGCTCGAGAATCTGCTTGGGTATTCTCTGTTTAAATTTTGAGACAATTCGTAGCCCGCAGTTCTTAGACCTGATGATCAATCAATGAATCAATACAGGGACGTCAAGTTTTCAACCAGCTACGTTGTATTGCATAGAACCAACAAGCACGATTTGCGCTGTTAGGTCTGAGAAGTGTGGCCAATCAGAGTCGAACGTGACGGATATACTGCTAGTAATATTCCCTAGATATGGCCAAAGTTTCAGGACCTGGAATCTGTCATTGTGGAGAAAAGTAGTATTGTATAGAAAATGGTATCAGTCTGCTCAATTTAGAATACCCCAGGAAAACTATTTAATAATTCAATACAATGACAAGGCAGGTTTATTAAGCAATGCTAAGCAATAGGATAGTGAAATTAACTACTATAAAACCAGGTTAGTACAATATAGGTTTAGTATAATATTACCCTTAGTATAATAAATTTTTAGCTAAAAATTAGATCTACTATATAAATATTATTAAACCTTAATAAAGCAGTATATTATAGCCTTCTTTTTTTCTTCTATCTATATTATACTACTAAATATATTACTTAGCCTATTATAAATTAGCCTAGCTAATTAGAATATTTTATTAAGTAATCTTATTCTACTAAAAGACTATACTTAAAGAATAATATTAATAATTTTTCTCTACTATATAATAATAGCTAGTTTATTAGTTTAATAAAAAATAAAATTATTACCCTATATAATCTATTCTATCTACTATTCTATTATTAAAATATAAATATCTAAATACTAAGCCTTCTAACTAGACCTTGCCAAAGCCCGTGGGCTTTTGGGCCCGGGCCTATCCGGGCCGCTAGTCACGGGCCACAGGCCGCTAAGAAAGCCCGGCCCGTGGGCTCGGGCCTAAACTTAAGGCCCGCGGGCAGGCCGGCCCGGCCTACGGGCCTTCAAACAAGACAAACACAAGAATACATAAAATATATTGTATTTTTAGTAATTTTGAGTGTATAGCTACGTATAATACTAAGCTTATAATCCCTATGGCCAATTTGTTGCAATCCCCATGGCCAATTTGTTACGATCGCCATGGCTAATTCGTTGCAATCCCTATGGCCAGTTTGTTACGATCGCCATGGCCAAATTGGTGCAATCCCTATCGCCAATTTGTTACGATCGCCATGGCCAATTTGTTGTAATCCCCATGGCTAATTTGTTACGATCGCTATGGCTAATTTGTTACGATCGCTATGGCCAGTTTGTTACGATCGCTATAGCCAAATTAGTGCAATCCCCATCGCTAATTTGTTGCAATCCCTATGGCCAAATTGGTGCAATCCCCATAGCTATCGCTGGCCGTCGATTATTATTTTACAGGCAAAAAAGGGGTATTCGGTAACCATTGCCTATATAGCCTTGGTGTCATGTATTATAGTGTATTATTATATAGTGGCTTTATTTAACCAATAATATTATAATAATATAATTAGTACTATAATTTAATTGGCTCAGAAGTAGGCCCCTAGGGCCTATGCCCCGCTTAGGCCTATAGCCGAAGCTCTTAGAATTTTGAGAAGAATAGTAGTAGTGCTACCCTCTGTATCAAATATATATCTTTATGTTCAAAATCATCAAACAACTAAAACTAAAATATTTTAATTTCTACCGGTCCGAAGTACTTCAAACTTATAATATATATAATATATATTCTTACTATTATATAAATAAAATTTTAAACAAAAATATTAATATTTAGTATATAAAACGCGTCGGTAAAATATTTATAAATTATTATCATTATATTCTAGGCACACATACTAGGCACACGTACTAGGCACACATACTAAGCATATGTACTAAGCACACATAGGTAATATTACCAGAATTAACAATACTAGATAGATAATAACTAATAGATAGTGCTCACTAAGCATAAAATACCTAAAATCTGATAATACTAGTACTAAGCACGGGTTAGCTATGGCGATTGTAACAAATTAGCTATAGCGATTGCAACGAATTGGCCATGGCGATTGCAACGAATTAGCCATGGGGATTGCAACGAATTGGCCATGGCGATTGCAACGAATTAGCCATGGCGATCGTAACAAATTGGCGATGGGGATTGCACCAATTTGGCCATGGCGATCGTAACAAACTGGCCATCGCGATCGTAAGCTTATCTTTCAGCTGAATCCTAAGGTACCTACTGCCTATAGTAATACAATGATGATACTACGCTAAGAAATACATTAAAACTTTTATATTTATGCTAAGTTATGCTTAGGATACCTTCCTAAATAGGCAGGTCACAGGCCTGCGGGCTGTAGGCCCATGGGCTCGGGCCTAAAACTTAGGCCCGCGGGCCGCTAGTCACGGGCTACGGGCTTCCTTAGCGGCCCGGGCTTTGGTAAGGTCTACTTCTAACTATATTATTAATATAAAGTAGCAATATATAGTAAAATAGCTTAATCTTAAAGCTATATTAATTTATTAGATTACTTTTACTTAAGATAATATTCTAATATTCTAAGAATTTATCTAAAAAAAAGCTTAGGATTATTAGATTAAGCTTCTAATATATACTAATTAACTAATTCTAATCTTTAGTAATAGATAATTATCTATCTTTTAAAACTAAAAAAATAAGTAGGATTACTAATTATTTAGTAAACTTAGAAATGCTTTAGAAACTATAGCTAAAGCTATAATTCTAATTTAATATTTTTTTAAAAATATATTATCTAAAAGATATCTTTAACTATAATAAAACTATTCTTTATTAGAAATAAATTTTTAGTTAAAATCTTACTATAAAGCCTTTATCTAGATAAAAATAATATAAAATAAGAATTTTAGCTCTATTTTATTATAATTCTAATAGCTCTAAAAAACTCTATTCTTAGTTTATTAGAATAGCTAAAAAAAACTTTATTTTTTATCTATATAAAGATTAATATTAAAAATTTAAATCTTTAATAAAAATTAAAAATTAAAAGCTTAGGTAGTTAGTAAATTTTTTAAAGAATAGCTTTAATAGTTTTATTAATAGATAATTTTTTTAGCCTATAAAGCTATAATATATTTTATTAATAAAAGTTCTTAGCTATTATAAAATTTATTAATTATCTAGCTTTCTCTAAATTTAATACGTTAATATTAGCTATTAGATTAAGAGATTATTAGAACTTAGAAAGTTTATTAGAAATAAAAATAAGTTTAATTTATAGTATTTAAGTTTAATTAAGGTTAAGATCCTATTAAATTAATAAATATTCTGAAAGTATTATAATAAATAATATAAACTTAGAAATTTAATATTTTAGCTTAATCTATTAGTAATTATTTTAAAATAGTATTATATAATAATAGTTCTAATTAAGATTTAAATACCTAGCTAATAATTAATAAAATCTTATCTAATCTTTTAATATTAAAGCCTTAAATAGTTAATATTATAAGTACTAAGAACTTTTTTAATTCGAAGAATAAAATAGTCTAAGATAGAATTAAGACCTTATATAATATAGTACTTAGTTAATTTAAGAAAGAATTAGATAATAATAATATATCTTTATTATCTAATATACTATTAGTATTAATAAATAATACTATAAATGTATTAGAGATACTATATCTATATAAAGAATAGTAAGAAGAAAACTTAGTATAGATAATATCTAATCTTTATAGATATAAGAGAATAATATAGACTACAAATATATCAGAGTTATATAGTTTGGGGCTTTAGTAGCTTTACAAGAGGAATCACGAATATAAAAGAAACTATCCGTATACTCTGTTAATCTTGTTATCTTTTAGGACTGTTCCCAGAAGAGTATTCTTTCTTAGAGATAAGTCTTCTTTAAACGGCTATAGAAGGCCTATTCAGCATCCGATATACTACTATATAAGATTCTGGAGTGAGGTTATAGTAGAATAAGTATATGTTTATATAAGCTATAGTGTAAGGAAGGATATATATATATATATAGGAAATAAAGTAGTCATGTGCCCTAAGGCATCTCTGGGATTACAGTACCTTAATAAATAATAAATATAGTAGATAGGACTAATAATAAAATTTAATTTTATCCTCTACTATTAGCTAGATAAGCTTATAGTACTACTAGATATATTATCTCTTTCTTTTATCTAGAAAGAGATAGAATCTTCTCTAAGATATTATAGATAAAAGATTATTAAATTAATTTTATACCTTGTTTAAAAAGATATTAGTTTGATCTAAATTTATATATAAGGTTAATAAGACAGACCCTAACCTTTTAGCCCTAGTACTATTTTTTA